ATACAAATAAGCAAAGTATGAGTATTTTATGGAAAATCTCAAAGCAATTAAAGTTTCAAAGGAAAACTGACTTAGCTACACTGACAACTACACAAAGAAAACTAAAACCAGAAAAAGGGGATATTATGGAAATAAAAAGGAGTACATGATACTATTAACAGCTGTGTATCTATGAATTAGATGACAAATTATTAGAAACATAAATTATTTAAATTAACTCAAAGAAAATTTAAAAATTTTAATAGATCATAACGAGAGAATAAATCTGTAATTAAAGTCTTTCCAAGAAAGGAAAATCCAGAATCAAATGCCTTTGTTAGTGGATTATTCTACCAAAGAATCAACATCAATCCTTCACAAATTCTTCCAAAAGACAAATTAGAAAGGAACACTTTCTATGAAGTCAGTAGTACTCTAATACAATACCAGATAAACATATCACCAGAAAACTACAGATCAATATCTCTTATGAATATACAGTAAAGAGTCCATAACACCATACTAGCCAACCAAAACTGACAGCATATTAAAAGAATTATACACCATGATTAAATGGGATTTTATCCTAGAAATACAAGAATGGTTCAACATGACAAAAATCAACCACAGTATTAAAAATGAAGGGGAAAAAACCCACGATCTTGACACAGAAAAAATTGACAATCCAAAACACTTTCATAATGAAAACACTAGAAAAACTAAGAATAAAAAAACTTGCTTAACATGATAAAAGACATGAAAAATCCAGAACCAACATAGTTAATGGTGAAATTTTGACTACGATTCTTAAAATCAGGAACAAGACAAACTGCTCACTTTTGCACTGCTATTCAAGGCTGTACTAGAAGTTCTAGCCAGAACAATTAGGACAGAAAATACAAATCAAGGCACCCAAATTACAAAAAAAAAAAAAAAATCTTCATCTGCAGATGAAATATTCTCATGTATATCTTCCAAAAAATCCAAAGTAAAGATATCAGAGCAAATAAATTCAGCAAACATATAGGTTGTAAGATGAATATACAAAATCAACTATTTATATACATCAGCAAAAAACAATTTGGGGAGCAGCATATACCTCTAATCCCAGCTACTTGAGAGACTGAAGCAGAGGATCTTAAGTATGAGCCCAGGCTGAGTAGGAAGATAAGGACTGGGGATGTAGCTCAGTGGCAGAGCACTTGCCCTGGAAGAAGCCCTAGGTTTGGAGAAAAGTCAATTCTAGTCCTTTTGCCCATTGTAAATTTGGGTTGTTTATCTAATTGTTGTTCAGGCGCAGGGGTAAAAGGGGTGAGGAACTAATACTCTGAATACATAAAGAACCCCTACAACTCAGTAACAAAGAAACAAGCAACTCAATTTTACAAGTAGATAAAAGGAATAGAATAGACATTTTTCCAAAAAAGAAATACACGTGGCATGTGAAAAGATGCTCCAAATCATCAGTCTTTTGAGAAATGTAAATCAAAACGATAATGAGATAACACTTTACACATATTAGGGTAGCTATCATAAAAATACTAAGATGGCCATATATAAAATATCAGACCATGTTATGGGTGTGGAAAAACTGGAATATACTCAATATTGTTGATGGGAATGGAAATACTATAGCATGTATAGTGCCATTTGGCAGTTCCTCAAAATGTAAACAGAGAATTGCCACAGTAATATGCAATTCATTGCTAGATATATAGTCAAAATTGGCAACTGGGACTTACTGGGGCTGAGAAAACAATATCCCAAAATTTGGCTATTTGATATGGTGAGTACTTTGAACCAAAAAATAAGAGTCAGAACCAAGATCTCTCTGACCTTCAGAAAATCCTGTCTTCTACTTCTTTTCATTCAAAATCAAAAAGCAGCTTTCTCTGAAGGTTTAAACTGTGTGCTGTACTGAGTAATGTGTTCCATCCTGCCCAAGACCTGAATCATCTCTTTGTCCAGAGTATCCATGCTGCATATGCTACCCACTATTAGTGGTTTAATAGCTATCTTAGCTATCAGATCAACTGTCATGATATTTCAGGGCTTGTGAGGCAGGGTGCAATCATACCTCACAGTTGAAGTAGCAACTCAGGAGAAAAGGAACAGGAAGCTATGACTCTGGCAATAAGGGTGAGAAAGTAAATGAGGTTATTATTACAGGAACAAGCTGCTGTAGTTCCTGAGATGATAAAGTGGGATGCACAAGCAAACTGGGTAAGACTAAACAAGGCTCGCAACAGATTTGACCTAGAGCTGACCCTAAAATTCCAAATTCACACCCGCATAGTAACTAAACTCTCTCTAGTACAGACTCTAACGCTTCCTGAAAAAAAACAGATTAATAACATTTCCTTGAGATATCATAAAAGTGAAATATCTCCTTTTTCAGGTTCTTTGTGGTATAGCCAGCTTTGCTTTCCTTTACTAGGGCTATCTCTTTCCTAGGACTGGAAACCCAACAGGGCAGCCAGCTGTGCTCTTCTTATAATAAACTTGCATTTTATTGTCACTTTTACAATTAATCCATGTCTGAGTTCCATTTTTATTTTCTTTTTTTTAAGTATAGGGGTTTAACCCAGGGCCTTTTTGTAATGGGCTGCATTTTTAGCCCTTTTCTATTTTTTATTTTGAGACAGGGTCTAAATTGCCCAGGTTGGGCTACAATTTGGGATCCTCCTGCCTTAGTCTGCCACATTCCTGGGATTACAGGCATATGCCACCATGTCTGGCTATAATTTTCATCTTAATGTGGAGTTAAAGATCCACATTACCTGCTGACTGGTGACACTTCTATTGAGGTAATGATTAATTTACTTAGTAACAACACCAAAGTGCAAGAGGAGTGATGCTGGCAATTGGTTAAGCTAAGAGATGCCACAAATTGCTTCTTTTAAGTAAAAGAGTAATGTAATAGCCGGGTGTGGTGGCACATGCCTATAATCCCAACACTCGGGAGGCTGAGACAGGAGGATGGCTGTGAGTTCAAGACCAGCATGGGATACACAGTGAGTTCCAGGGCAGTCTGAACTACACAGTAAGACCTTGTTTCCAAAAAAAGAGTGATGTAATTAAAGTTCTCAATAAGAGAAAAAGAGCTGTATGATTAAAAAAAAACAAACCCATACACTGACATTGCTAGGTTCTATGGAAAGAATAAATCGATCCATGAAATTAGTGCTACTTCCCTAGAATTTGTCAGACCCTCTCTCAGCACTAAGCAAAAATAAAAATTTAAAAAAATTTTAAAGTAAAAAGGAAGGAAGAAAAGGAAAGATGGAAAAGATGTAAAGTATAAGGCCCAGTACTACCTTTGGTTTCAGGCACTAAGGGTCTTAGAACTTATCCCTTGAGGAAAAGGAAGTGCTTTTATTATATAAGAAAGTTTAAAATTTTCACTCTCCCCTCCAAAAGTTTCAATAATTTTAATCTCTAAAATGAATTAGCAATAGAGAAACAGGAAAGAAAAAAAGCATATGCACTTAATAATGTGGAGAAACACAGAAGCCATAAAGTAGGAGACCAAAGAAAAGGCCAGATGGTTGAACCTTAAATATCATTTTGAGCTACAGAAAGAAATAGAGACTTGATGAGCCAGGCATGCTGGCACAAGCCTATAATCTCAAAACTCAGGAAGGTGAGGCAGGAAGATTGTGAGTTTGAGGCCAGCCTGGGCTAATAGTGAGATTCTATCTCAAAAAAAAAAAAAACAAAAAAAAAAAAACCAAAAAAGGAAGGGAGAAAGGGAGGGAGGCATAGGGACCTAAGGTTGTTGTTGAGTGGGAGGCTGAGGACTGAGAAGAGGAAGAAAAAGGTGGACAAAAGTTGTCCTAGTTTGATGACAAAGTCTCCCAAGTAACTGTCACTCATTATCTGTCTGAGCCAGATGTCAGAACCATAATCTTTTATTCTTGTGAAATGATCTTTCCTAAATAGATCAGGGCTATCAGATAGAAAGCCTCAGGCTGCATGCAGTGTTTATTTCTTTTCACAAATGGATAGCTTTTTTTCCCTGAAAAGGTATACTTTTTTCTCTAAATAACCAACTCAAAACATAACACAAAAATATGTTTATGGTGGGATATTTTGATGTTTTTCAATTATCTTTTGTTAAAATATTTGGCGTTTTATCTTTTATTCTAGAAACATCCAGAACAGCTACATATCAATAAAGGTGAAAGATAAGCTTTTTGTTATTTATAGCAACAGTACCTAAGCTTACCTAATGGAGTAATTTTTGGAAAGCCCCTTGATAACCACAGGATGGGAGCTGATAGCCGGGGGAACAAACCAAAGGTGCTTAGCTCAGAGGGTTGGAACTCACAACTTATCCCCCACCTCAGAAGAAGAAAAAGAGGCTAAAATTTGAGTCAATCACCAAAAGCTGATGATCTGATCAACTGTTGTAACAAAACCTCCATAAAACACAAAAGGATTGAGTTTATGTTTTCAAAGAATAAAAACATCTATGCAAAGAGACTGGTATACTTCAATTCCGAGGGGATAGAAGCTTGAGTTAGGACCTTTCCAGACCTCATTATGTATTCTTTTTATCTGAAGAGATTTGTATTCTCTTTGAACATTCTCAGAATCTTTTTGTATCTTTTAAAACTTCTGGTTTACCTTAATGTCGTACACTGATCTAGCAAATTAATCAAACCAAGGAAGGGGCTGTGGGAACCCAGATTTGTGGCTGATGGGTCAGAATCCAAAACCTGGAATCCTTGGCATCTAAGGTGGGAGGCAGTTTTGGACTAAACCCTCAAATTGTGGGACCTGACAACTTGTGGGACCTGACACTATTTCCAGGTAGTGCTGGAACAGAACTGAACTAGAAGATATACAGAAGTATTTATGCTACAGAAGCAACTGCTTGCTTAAAGTATGGGGACACATCTGGTATAAGGAATGTGCTGTGACAGCATGGTAAGAGTTTAGTTGTTTTACTCATCAAATTCTATATATTGTATTATTGATTTTAGTCAGACATCAAAAGTGTATATTTTAACACTTACAAAATATACTGCTCCAAAGCTTCCATGGCCAATTTCTCTGAGATCTGTGAAGAGCTTCTCTGGATCTTCTTTGAAGAAGAGCTCTGCAATTTCAGGGTCCTTTAGACTGCCAGCTCTGTTAGTTGATGGCATCCTGTTGGGCAGTCAGCTGTATGATTCTAATTTTAAACTGCTATCCCAATCCTTGGTTCATCTGTATGAATGAAGCCACGTTGGCATAAACTACTGTAAATAAATAAGAACAGAAAAGTAGGAAAATTAAAAGCTGCTAAGAATAATTTATGTAAAATCATTTACTGACAGCATCCACAAAAATTATTGAATTTCACTGAAAAGGCAATGTGACCTACTGCTGTAGTAGTTCTTAAGCCTGGCTCATTATCACAATTACTTGTGTTACTTTAAAAAAGAAATTCCTTTCTTTCTTTCTTTCTTTCTTTCTTTCTTTCTTTCTTTCTTTCTTTCTTTCTTTCTTCTTTTCTTTTCTTTCTTCCTTCCGTTTTTTTTTTTTTTTTTTTCCTTCCGTTTTTTTTTTTTTTTTTTTCCTTCCGTTTTTTTTTTTTTTTTTTTGGTTTTGAGACAGGGTCTCAACTCTGTAGTTGAGTCTGACCTGGAACTCACTATGTAGCCCAGGCTGGTCTTGAACTCACAACGATCCTCCTGCCTCAGCCTCCAAGTGCTGGGATTACAGGTGTGCACCACCACGCCCGGCAAAAAAGAAATTTCTAAACCAAGCACAGTAGAACACATCTGTAATCCCATCCTCCTGGGAGGCTGTCACAGGAGTTTGTGCCCAGACTGGCACAAAGATCCTATGTCTCAAAGTAAGAAAAAAATACCTAAAAGGGCTGGAAAATAAAATAAATAAAAGGGCTGGAAACGTAGCTCAGTAAGAAGGCCTGAGTTCGATTCCAATTACTCCATAACAGTCAAAAAACAGGGGGTTGGGTTCTCCACAATACACCATTTAAAAATTTTAGATACATCTTTATATCTTGAGAAGCTTTCAATGTCATAATATATATAAAGATTACCTAATTCTGACACAGTTACCAAAAGAAATGATACAATACAAGAACAATTAAAAAGATACTAGGGCCAGGAATTTAGCTCAGTGGTTCTGCCACCTGCCTCACAACTGCAAGGACCAGAGTTCAATCCCCAGTACCCCCCCCACAAAAAAATAGTACAGGACAAGCTTTATGCATAACTGTTTTAACAACAGGCAGATGCCACTTACTAATGATCTCCATATTCGTGGAAATACACAAAAAATGTATTAGTAAACTTTCTTTTCCTTTCAGATATGATATAATCGTTTATTAATCAATTCTGACAAGACATTTTAAAGGAAAACATACCAGGAGAAAGTACGAATTTAACCCAGACTTTTCCCACATAAACCTGAGTGACATTAAAATCAATTATCAATTGGCTTCTTAAATAAGTGGCCATACAGATAACCAGTGAATTCCTTGGTATTTCTGCTACCAATTCTTTTATCAGATTACCCAAATATTAAAATAACTACTAACTAACTCAGAGGCATCAGGACCTGGGTCTGGAATGAGGAGGCCTATTAGTCAAGAAACACTATTTACAAGTTGTGAGCTTGAGTAGTCTTATTTTCCTAATCTGTAAAATGAAAATAACCTACTTCATGAAGTAGTTGTGAGGGTTAAATGAGTTAAATGTAAGCACAGACCAGCACCCTGGCACAGTAAGCACTACAACAAATGGTAGCTATTATCTTTTAATTTGCTTAATTTTAGCAATTAAATAATATAATTTACTTTATTAGAATTCTAAAGAAAACAAAGCTTCACCTAATTCTTATATCCTTTACATGACTTTTAAGCAGGCCTCACTTCTGGCAAAACAACAAAACCAACCAACCCCTCTTCCCCTCTCCCCCCTTCTCTACTTCCCTCCTTTTTCTCTTTCTTCCAGTACTGAGGATTGAACTCAGGGCCTTCACACAAAGCTACATTCCAGTTTTTAAATTTTTTATTTTGACAAAAGATCTCACTAAGTTACTAAATTTCCCAGGCTGGGCTAAAACTTGCAATCCTTCTGCCTCAGTCTCCCAGAGTGCTTAAGTATGCACCACATCTCCAACTTCAATTCTTTTTTTTTTTTTAAGAGTAGGAAAATTTTATTGAGGGAAAGAAAACTGTCTAAGAGAGACAGAAGGGGGACCGGGAAGTGGGTTGCCCCTCCAACTTCAGGTTCTTGATACAAAACTTCTTCATAATTATGTAAAACAGATTTATGTTTTTTTCACCTTTCCAAAGTAAAACTTCACTGCAATAAAAAGGTGTTAATTAGAAACCCAGCAAGATAGGTGGACATGCCTGTAATTCCAGGGAGACTGGGACAGGAGAACTGTTAGAGACCAGCCTGAGCAACTAAGCCAAGACCCTATCGCAAAATAAAAAGAGCTGATGATATGATTCAGTGATGGAACAATTATCTGCCTGGCATGTGTGGGATGTATAAGCCCTAGGTTCAATTCCTAGCACCACCACCACCAAAAAAAAAAGAGACAGTATAAATGAAATTGTATTTCATTTCTAATATACACCCAAGGCTGACCCATATATTTCAATCAATTTCCCTGCTCTGGAAATTCCCTGGAACAAAGATTATCAATTATTAATTACATTTCTCCTAAGATACAAGAACATAAAAAAAAAAATCACTGAAATTCTTACCCCTAAAATGAAAAGGCTGAACTAAATACCACAAAAAATATTAATATTTAAGGGGCTAAAAGTGCATGCGGTTCAGTGGTAGAGCACTAGCTTACCATACACATGTTGTCTAACCCCCCCAGCCCTGGAAAAAAGTATTTTTGTGTTAATATTCAATCAACCTGTAAAAATATTTTTTTAAAAAATCAGCATTAAAATCTTATTTAAGGTGTTTTTTTTTCTTTTTTCTTTTCGGCACCAGGGGTGGAACTCAGGGCATTGTGCTTGTGAGGCAGGCACAATGACAAAACTAAACCCCCAGCCCTTATTTAAGGTTTTTGAGTGACCAAGTTCTAGTATTATTACAAGAATATTTTTACATTAAAATTTTATCAGTTCCAGATTTGCATCTTGCATCATCTGCCTAACAAATTCTCACTCAAAATTGAGTTTTAGATCAAATGTCAAAATGTTTATAAAATTTTAGCCCTGTTAGAAAGAGCTAGACACTTTTTTTTTGGTACTGGGGATTGAACTAGGGACCTTGCGCTTTTGAGGCAGACGGTGGAACCACTGAGCTAAATCCCCAGCCATGGACATTCTTTTTGTAGCTCAAAACATCCTGCAGTATTTACAATACTGCAATCTTGTGCAGCACCCCCACAGGTATGTGTTCTCCTTTATTTATTTTTTTAATAATCTCTCCACCTCCTACAGCCTCTAGTTATCATTAAATATTTGTTAAACCAAAGAATAATCTTCCTTTTCTAACCCTAAAAATGATGTTATTTCAATAGTTACCCAACAAATAGTACTATACACATAAGATTATGATACACAAACATATTAAAATTGGTAAGAGTAAATTCCTAAGCATAGCACCTTGCAGAAAATCAGTGAGACCAAAAAAAAAAAAAAATCCCATGGAACGCTTGCTCTACTAATTATCAAAAGATAAAACAACTGCCACCAAAAAGGGCAGAGAATCTTAAAGAACCATAAAACAAGAAGGACTAGTAAATCTATCATCTAAAAGACAAGCTAGGAGTATAGTTCAGTGGTAAAATGCTTGTTTGTCATTTGACTGCTGGCACCAAACAAAAAATAGGGGAATAAAAAAACAAAAAAGTTCTCCACTGGGAGAACTAATGGCCATGTGGAAAAAATATTAAATTACAAGTGTATCAGATATACAAATATGACAAATAAAAAAATACAACTATGTAAGTACTAGAATGAGAATAAATTTTTCTATTTGAGGAAACTTTCCCCTGATCTAAATCCAAAGCAGTAAGAAAAAAAGCTTTTTATTTTCTTTTTTTGAAATAGGGTCTCATTATGTTCACAAGGTGGCCTCAAACTCACAATCTTCCTCAGCCTACCAAATACAGTAGCTGGAATTACAGACCTGCACTATCTGGCTGAAAAACTTTTATACACACACACACACACACACACACACACACACACACGCGCATATTTTGCCATATATATATTATACCTAACAATATAAAAAAGAAAATTTAGGGCTGGTGGTGTAACTCATAGTAGAACATTTGCCTTGCAGGCATAAGGCCCAGCTTTTGGGGGTTTTTTTTGGCACTAAGGATCAAACTCAGGTCCTCGCACTTGTAAGGCAGGCGGAGGGCAGAATCACTGAGCTAAATCCCCTGCCCCAAGGCCAAGGTTTGATACTCAGTACCACAAAAAGAAAAAATTTGGGAGGATATTTTTAGAGGCCACAGAGCAAACAGATTTGGCCCTTGGGCCAATGTGGCAACTCCTGAGCTATACAATGGAGATTTAATGCAGTTAAAAGGATTTCACTTTTTGTTTTAGTTTCCAATAGCATGTGAAGCATACAAAGCAGGTTGATATTGTGTGATTTTTAAAAACTTGTCAATTACAACAGAATGTTACAAATATAGTATCACTGTGTCCTGTAATTTCAATCTGAATTCATTAAGAAACATTAAGTCTGCACAGAGGTAAATATCTAAAGCCATTCAGTGTTCAACAATAACATTTATTTCTACTCAAAATAATTTAAACTCAGTCCTAGATTCACAACATCAACCTGCTGTGTGTTAAGTTGTAGAAAACTCAAGACAGCTTTTGTAAGTACCAAAAATTAATGAGCGGAAAATGGTTAAGTCCAAAAAAGAGTTAAGCTAACATTAAAATACATAAGACTATTTTGCATAAAGTACTTACAAAAAAAAAAATCAATGAACAACAAATGGCTTTATATTTAACACGACAAGCTTCATGAATTAATCCAACTAAGCCTTTTTCTTTTTGATGCATATTTCACACATCTTAGCCAACTCAACTTCAGGTGATACTAAATTAGTCTTCATAGACTAATTCAACTTTGAAAATATTCTCACCTTTATTTGATATTTGCAGATTATTGACAGAGGCTAACTCTTCAGGCCTTTCCAAGTTGACAAAGACTCTTCAATGTGTAAGTGACTTCTGATGAGCCAAGGAAAATCACTCAAAATCATTTTTAAAAATTGACTATTGATA